CTCTTTGCATGCTTGCTTATGCGCGGTCGCATGCTGTTTGCAGGCTTTCCTTCGCATGCAGCCGGCAGGAGTCCTTGCACACCACTGCACGCTGTCCACATGCTCACAGTGTTTGCACTGTGTGGCACGCTGAGTCCATGCTTTCTTGCGTTCGTTTGCATGCTATTTCTAGGCTTGCTTACATGCTGCTTCCTTGTCACGCACAGCAGTGCACTTTTGTTGCTGACTTAGCCCCATCCAGCCCCAAAGGGCCCTAGTTTTTTCCGTGCTGTAGTAGGGTGGGCACCTGCACCCTTCCTGGTGCTACGTCTCAAAGAGAGGTAGAGCGGAGATGGCTCCGCGGCCTCTCCCCTTACTTTATTTGTGACACCGCTTGCTGGCAGCCCTCTGGCCCAGTGTCACTGGGCAGCTGAGCCCGAACTGTTAGAAAGCCCTCCAGCTCCGGCCCTTCGCTCCGCAGACACCCAGCAGCAGGTTACCAAGCACAGCCCAGCCGTGCCCAGCTCCGGCTGGGCTCCCAAGGAGGCCACGCAGGGAAGGGAGAGAAACAGCACAGGAAAAAAAAAAAAACCCAGGCACTAACATTTTGGGTTTTCCCAGCTGTCTAAAACCCACCCAGCCGTGGTCGCAGGGCCGCCCGCGTTTCCTGCAGGGTTTTCTGCTTGGCTGGCCCATGCATTTGATGGATGTGATAAGACAGCCTCCCTCGATGGCCTGGCAGGCACGAATCCAGCCGGGGACGGTTTCCCTCCTCCGCTGCGGTTTTTCCGGGCTGACCTCTGTATGGGCCATTTAAATTCCTGGTTTATGGCACTGCATGGGAATGGCCCTGAAGCCTTTGGCTGATGCCAGCTCCGGCACCCTTTGCCCGTGGCGGCTCCCGGCTGGCCCCGGCACAGGCTGACCTCGTCATCCTCGGCACAGGGACCTTTTTCTCCTGCAAAAGTGACGGCTGGGTTTGCAGCAGCGCCATGTTTCTTGCACTATTTTTGGCTGGTTGGGCTTGCCAGCTGCATCCATGGGTGCTGGCCTCGGTGCTCGGGGGGCTTTGCTGGATCCCACCTAATGCCCGCAGCATGCAGGCTTCACCCGGGGAGCTGGGCTGGGGGGATCTTGGGCACTCTGAGCTGCTCCGGCACATGCTGATGGTTCCAGTTTGCAGGATTTATCCTGGACGCAACCTGAAACAACTCGAGCTCTCCAAAACCTTTTGCAAACTACAACGTGGACCCTCATGCCCGAGACTCCTGGCTGTGTCCCTCTGCCCCTGCGCTGCTGCGGGAGCTGTGCGCTCGCTCGGGTTTCGTTTGGTTGTAGTTCTAGTTTTCTGTAAAGAAACTCAGTTTTGCGCTTGAAGCCTGGCTAACGGAGCTGCAGCAGCAGTCCTGTGGCTGGAAGCAGCGTGAGCTCCCAGCCCTGTGGTGTCTTTCTCAGCAAGTGGGAAGAGAGAGGGATAGTCCCAAACTCACGCAGCTCTGCAGGCTGCATGGAGCCATCCAGTGGAACGGATCCGTAAGGAGCTGCAAAGAGAAGGGCATCTCCGGTAGGGAAGGGAAAGGTAATCCCAGGCCAGCAGGAACAGACTGTCCTGTGCAGGACAGGAGGCAACAGGGGTTTTATGGTCTTTCTGTTCAAGCGGAAGCTTTTAAAGGACCTCTGGCTGTGCTTTGCTTTGATTCTAGGGAGTATTTCTTCTAATGATTTCCTTGTGCTTTGTTTAGCTGCTTGTAGGCAGTTGCCTTTCTATCACGAAAGCCACATCCAAGATGCAAAGGACGTACCCCTGAAAACAGCACCGTCAGAGGCCGAGCAGCACCACCAGCGTCCTCTCGCTGCTCTGCGTGAACCGCAGCGAGGCGGTACCTTGTATTTTATGAAAGTAACCGAAGACCGCAGTGGTGCTGGTGTTCCTGCGTTCCCAGCCCAGGGCTCTGGGAGGGCTGAGGCTGCTGCCCACCAGCAGAGCCCGGCTGGCCACAGCTCAGCACTTGGGGTCTGCTGAGCCCAGAGGCCCCCCGAAGCTTTGGGGACACTGTGGGTGCAGGGGAGCTGTTGGACAGACATGCCGAAATGATACCAAGGAGGCAGAGGAGGATCTTGTGCTGCAGCAGAGGGGTGAGCGGGTGGAGGGGCTTCAAAATGCTGCAAATAGAAGCTGGGAGCAAGAGAAGCTTTTTCCTGAGAAAGAAAATAAACCCTTGCCATGGCTGAGGGGACAGACATACACCGTGGCCAACAATTAATTTGCAAACTGGCTCAACTGTGGTGAAGCGTGGCAGGAGGGAGCTGTGAAATGTGGCAGTTGTGGAAGGTGAGATGGTAGAGCAGATGAACCCATCTCTTCGCTGCAGATCACCCCCCTTCCCCTTACCACGTCTGCACCTCCTCCCAGCTGACTCGGGTAGCGTGCTAGAGACTTAGCAGCTCAGAGTCTTACAGGGCCAATTCTGCCTGGGGGGTTGAGAAAATAAAACCAAGCAGGAGCAGCACAAATGTACAAAACAGCTCAAGTTTACTTCCAGCATCGTTCCCAGCACATAAGTTACCCCTCTCCCAAACAGAAGTCTTACACCTTTCCCAATGCCGTAGCAGTGCAGTTCAGTAGTCAATGGGCTTAGAGCCCTTTCCCATCCTAACAACGGAAGCGATCTCTCAGCTTGGTGGACCTCAGAGAGACCCAGGCAGCAAAATGGAGCAGGTTGCTTCCAGCAAAGACGAGAAGCAGCAGCGCTCTGTTCCCTGGGTCTCCCCAAGGAGCCCCATGGCCAGCGCCGGCCGCCCTGGTTTCTCTCAGAGGGGGGGCACGCCCCTGAATTTGCGGATGATGTTGGCCAGCCACTTGGCCAGCCCGCCCCGGCTCGGCTCTTCCACGTGAAACGTTCTGGTCAGCAGGTTGTAGAAGGAGCCGTAGCACACTGCCACCACGGTGCAGGTCAGGCAGATGACGTTATAGGGCATGCTGAAGTCTGGCGTCGGCAAGTTTACCAGCAGCGGCTCCGTGTACAGGCGCACAAAATAGCTGGAGCCATCAGAGGAAGGAAACCTGGAGAGCAGAAGCAGGAAAGGGAGCGTCAGCCCGCACAGGACCGCTGCTTCATGCTCACCAGATGGGATGACAGCGGCCGGCAGCCCGCAGGCGCCGCGCTACGGCCCCACTCCCCAGCACAGGCACACTCACAGCGAGGTGAAGAGAGGGCTCTGCTCCACATCCACGTCCTTCATCGCAATGACACTGGGCACCAGGGCACTAAGCACAGATGAACTAAGGAGACAAAGGACATGCTAGTGTCAGTCCTGCCAGCAGAGACGGCAAGAGTTTTTCCCGTCCCCAGAGACCTGGGCAGCAAGTCCTACACGAGGCCCAGAAGGGGATGAGGAGCTGAGGTACATGTCGTTACCTGACATAAAAGCCGTGATTGGGGTCAGGCGTGTACTCTGTCCACTTCAATAAGGCCCTCTCAAACTGGATTGTGATTTTGGTGACAGAGCTGGCTGGCAGCTGGATCAGCATTTCCAAGAGGTGAGGCCGCCTCCGGTCCTGGGCTGGCTGGTAGTGGATATAACCTAATGCCAAAGAGACGCGTCAGTGGCACCGGGGGGACCTTGTCCAATCTCACATGGTCTGGACACCTCCCATGGGGTGGGTGCTCCCGCTTCCACTGTCCTGGGAGAGGTTTTCTGGGCAAGTGAAGATGCACAGGTAGCAAAAAGCATGTGTTAAAGCTAAATCTGGCTGGTCTTTACAGCCGATGGCCCATGAAAGTCGGGTGCTTGTAAGGAAAGGTACAAAGGCAAAATAAGACCCAGTCATCAGTTTTAAATCGAGCCTCCTTTACTACAACAATCAGTTCACGTTGGTTTAGACCCTTGTTGGATTATGAAACACTGTCCATGTGCCTCTTATAAAACAAACTTAATAAAGTCTCATCTGCTGTGAGTGTTGAACTGAAGGCTAGGAAAATATCCTAAGATGTTTTGTTTCCCAGTCCAGTTTCCCAGTGATCACTGGGGCCCGAGGGAGGGACTAAACCATCTCTGGAATGAGCCGCTTGTGCCAAGGGAACCAGGTGGCATGTGTTCCCGGGAGGGTTTACTTACTTGGCTTGTTTTCCTTCCCCTTCGTGATGATAGTCAGAGTGTGCACATAGAGTCGCAGATACCACGGCACAGTCTCCAGCAGGATCACGGGGAAGGCCCGGTACGGGTGAGTGTTGTAGATGAGAGTGCTGATCTCCCCGGTCTGCAGCCCGTATCCACTCACGTAGCGCTGAGCATGGAGTATGGGTGTCGGCAGTTCCGCTGCAAAAGAGAAAAGGACACGAGGAATGGGGGGGCCGTGCCAGGTGATTTTTAGGCCTGGAGCCCTGACCAGTGGTGCAGGTGGAATGAAGTTCTGGTCACTCACAGCTGTCTTGGGGCCGCTTCCACTTCAGCTGCACATTGAGGCTGCGAGATGTATTGAAGAGCGAGGGGCTCAGCAGGTCATAGACGGCATAGGTTCTCTTGTCTCCCTGGACAATAGCTTCGTATACAGATGCCGGAGGGGGGGTCACTTCCAGTAACTCCTTTTCCTGAGAAAGTAAATAGACCATGAAAGGAAAAGTGCCCCTTGAAGTAACTGGCAGCGCTGGGCAAAGCCCCTCCGGCTGGCCCTGAGCTTTCCCACCCAACAGCCAGCTCAGTGCTCTTACTAACACCACCACGCTCATCCCCACAGCCCTGCTCAGAGGAAGGAAACTACCTCCCTTCGTTAGCCCCAGAGGGCTCCTGGGGGGCCTGGCCATGCAGGGGATGGAGGCGAGGATGTTTCAGAGCCGCACGAAGCTGCTGAACTGAGGGAGCAGGGGGTGTTCTCTGCTCCGTGAGCATTACCTTGTTCTTAGGGGAGATGTCAACGTAGACTTTGCTCTGCGATGCCAGAGGACACGCGTCAGTAAGTGTGCGAGAGAACATTTTGAAGAGGGACCAGTCTGCGGGAAGCAAAGTCAGTGGCAGGTGGAGTGAAGTGCTGCAGGCTGGGGGCACTCGAGGACCACAGCGCACTGCCGCCGAGCTTACCTTTCTTTCCTTGGCTGCTGGAAAAGGTGTCAAAGACCACAGTGAGGCTCTGTCTGAGCTCCCAGGACACAGCCAAGCAGGAGGCATCCTGGACAAGAGGAAGAGAGGCAGTTCTGATCACACCTTCTGGAGGGGCAGGACACCAGGAGGGTGCTGGAACTCCACCAGGACTGCAAGAATCCCATCGGGACCCAGGTGAGACCAGAGAAACAGGACAACAGCTGTGTTAGACACAGTGAACCCCCCGCAGGGGAGCTTGGCAAGCCGGCGTGTCACCTTGCAGTGTCACAAGAAGGCTTTGGGTTTTCTCTTGGGGCTGTTAAAGGAGGGAGTCCTGAGCCTCGGCGCTTACCCTGCAGATGGGGCGGATGTGCACTGCCTGCGAGTGGTAGCTGCTGTGGAACAAGCGCTCGGCCTTCAGCAGCACAGCAAGCCCAGCCTGCAGGGAGAAAAGGAGAAACTCAGCCCCAGGTCTGTTCTCTGCTCCCACTGAGAGAAAGGCCCTGCTAAGACTTCCCAGTGCATGCTCCCGGATTGCTGTCGGGAACCCAGCTCCATCGGGAGAGGCCCAGTGAGGCAGCAGGACTTGCCGTTACCTTTGAGCCACATGGCAGCAGCTTCTTCCAAGGCGTGAGGTTCTCTGTGCAGACGACCTCCCGGGGCAGGACGGCGTATCGCAGGAGATGGTGATCTGTCCCTGGGCAGGGAGGTGGAGCATCAACAGGCTGGTTGTGACAGCTGTGTCATGCTGTCTGGCATGACAGCAGAAGCAGACCTGTTCCACCCCACAGCCCACCACCCTCTCAATATGCCCGAAATGCCACGAGCTCAATGAGGAATAGATCCCACTCTGTTCAGAGTGATTTGGATAGAATAGGTAAGGGTATATTCTAGCAGATTTTTTTCATGAGTGTCTTAAATCCTCTAGTCCTCACTGTTTCGTAACATACTTTTCAGAGAGACAGATGAGGGCCTGGGAGCATCTGCCACATACTGCTTGTGGGTTCCCTCTGTTCAAATCCAAGCCTCATTCGCAGGGAGAGGAAATGCTTCCAGTAGGAGGTTAACAGACCCTGTTGTACACACCCAGACCCGGAGTCGTTGCAGGACCTGTGCCCGGACTCCCTGGAGTGGCACAGGGCAGAACTAAAGCTAGAGGCAAGAGTGAGAGGGCAGAGCCGGGCAGCCAAGCGCAGGCCGGGCTCACCGTTGGCTAAGCCCAGGGGTTTGAAGGACGCCGTTGGAGTGACTGTGTTGGTCGAGTCAATGAAGTTGAGAGAAGCACAGAATATTCCAGAGAGGATGTTACTCAGTTCTTTCCAGGCTTTGTCAACACTGTGTGAGAACAGATACCAGAATTACTCAGCAGCTCGAATCCTCGGAACAACAAGCGTTAAGTCAGTAACATTCAATAAAAACACCGGCGTGACCACGCTGGCTTTCAGAAGCTGCAAGGAGCATGCAGGCAGAGGCTGCTGGTCGTGCACTCTCCAGCTCTCTTGGTATTTTGTTCTAACGCATGAGATCTGGGGGACATTCACTGCAGGGGCAGCCCCTGGGCTGGCAGGGCTTCGCACAGCCAGGGACCCGGTGGTGGGTGCAGCTGGTATTTGAGGAGAGAGGCTGGGGGAGCAGGGGGCGTGTGGGAGGAGACGTACGGTGTACAGGGAAGGGGCTGTGAGACCTAAAGCAACACCGTGGTGCGGCTCTGAAGGCTGACCCGACCAGCAGACCTGGCATGGGCCACTTGTAGGGAGGGGAGAGCTCTGTGAGTCCACGCAGAGCTGCGGCGGCTTGAAGAGGGCTGTGTGCTAAGGGCGACGGTGACAGGTGTTGGATGGGAGTCAAAGGAAGTGAGTCACGGATGAGAGGTCAAGATATAACCCCATCTTATTAGCACAGTGAGGGGTTTGTCATCACAGAGCCCATAAGGGAATTACTTGTCCCTTTAGTGAACAAGGGTTTGCCCTCAGCACCACATCCTGCCCTGTGCACTGAGCGGGGCTACGTTCTGCTTTTCCTTAGAGCTGCTCCTGGGGTTGCAGGCTCTTTATTCCAGCGGACATCTTCCAACCCAGGAGGCCCCTGCACACGCTGTGGCTGCCTCATGCGAGAAGGGCAACAGCTCCTGGGAGCGGTGGCCGCGGGGGAGACCCGCAGGGACAGACCTGCGGCTGGGG